ACGACCAAGTGATCACACATATTGGAAGAAGCCAGTCTACATACTGATACCAAAGAAAGGATACTTAACAGAGTGTGCAGACTATAGTACTGTACAATATCCTTAATTTAATCATCCAATGCAGATCAGTGCCCTACTTGGAAAGAGAGATGACAGATGCTCAACCTGGCTTTAGAAAAGGTTGAGGTGCAAGAGACATTACTGTTGATGCCCACTGGATAATTGAGAATGCAAAAAAAAAAAAAAGTCACTGATTATAGAAAGGCCTTCAGTTGTGTTGACCATGTCAAGCTGTGGAATACCCTTAGGAAAATGGGAATCCCAGAACCATCTCATTGTCCTTACACAAAACCTATAGCCAGGACAGGAGATATACTGAGGGAGGCTGGATTGGATCAAGATGAGCATGGTTTTAAAATTAAAGGAAAAAACTCCAATAACCTGCACTATGCTGATGGCACTACTCTGATAGATGAACATGGAAATGATTTGCAAGGTCTAGTAATGAATGTCAAGGAGCACAGTGAAAAAAAATGGGACTAAGATTAATTATAAACAGACCAAACTAATAACTGGTGCTGCAGCCAGCCTTAGAAATGTGAATGAAGATACTGAAGTGGCGGATACTGTAGAGAATAAGAAAGACGACCTTGACCGAAATATGCCCGAATTGTTACCTAGGCAAAAGGGGATGAAACACGTTTTAAATCCAGAACAACGAGATAATAATTGGAAGTGACTCAGGCAGCTGCCTCCTTAATTCACTGAAGGATAAAAAGGAGGAGGAGGTACCACAGATTTGCAAGATTCTGCTGTTATAGCCAATCTCAATAAAAGTAGTTTTAGCATCCCTGTGGAACTGATTTTTGGTCTGGTCTACCTATAGGGCTGACAAATACCTTCTGCTTTTTAGGACTGACTATCAACTATCAGCAGTCAAGAAAAATGCCACAGATTAGCACTTGGTAAAGTAGCAATGAAGGCCTTAGAAAAGGTATACCTGCAAAGATCAGAACCATGCAGGCAATGACTTTCCTTGTGATGTATATGGAAGTACAAGTTCAATTTTGAAGAAGCAAGACAGAAAAGAAAGAGTGTTGATGCTTTTGAACTTTGGCGTTGAGGAGAAGACTCTTGACAATACCATGGATAGCTAAGAAAACAAACAAATGGATCATAGAACAAACCAATCAAGTTCTCATTTGAGGCAAAAATGACCAGGTTCAAACTATCATATTTTAGACACATTATATGGAAAACTAGCTCCCTTCAGAAGTGTATAACGCTGGGAATGGTGGAAGGAAAGAGAAGAGAATAACCAGCAGCAAGGTAGATGAACTTAATTATAGTGGTGATGAGTGCACAGTTGGAAAAGCTGAAGGGCCAGATTGGGGACAGAACACCCTGGGGAAAGTCTATCTAAATGGTCACCAAGAGTCAACAATGCCTCGACTCTTACAATCAATCAATAAAAAAGTGGGATGGAGATCCTATAGCCCACCATATGTTACTAAACTATAACCATTATGGTTTCCACAACTGGAAACTACAGTTCAGCAATGTCTGCTCTTAATCTAAAAAAGAGAGAGAGAAAGAGAAAATAAGCATTACATAGCGAAAAGATGCTGTGTTAGAAACAAAACATACAGGAAAATATTGACATGTGAGAATAAAATCAAAGTTATTTATTTATTAGTTGCTGTGAACTGGAAATTATTCTGTCAAACTTCTAAAAAGGCAGTGTATGAAGTGATGGAAGCAAGGATAGCTTGCAAGGAAGAAAAGCTATAGAAAAATACATTAAATAGAGTTGATACAAATATTCACTATATCCTTTTGTTTTGTTTTCTGGGAACAACAGCAGGGACAGCATCCAAACTTGGAGCAGCATTACTAGGAATAGCATGATGGGAATGTATGCCTGTATGCATGCATTAAATAAACATCTTTATTAATACAATTATTTGCAGATGTATCACATCACTAAGGGGTCAAAAACTGCCATTATAGTATCATTTTGATTAGTCGACTTCGTTTCTTCTGCTGCTGTTCCTTTACTAGTACACATCATTTTCCCCCACCTTCCAGGTATTGGACTACAGCTCCTAGAATCATGCTGTCTTGTAATTATGGGAACTGAAGTCCAACACATCTAGAAGTTACCTTTAAGGAAATCTGATGTTCATAGAAGAAACAAGTAACACACACTGAAGAAAATTCTGTAACTGAATACACACAATCCAGTAATTTCTTAAAGCTTTATGGGGTCATATTCCCATTACTTCAATATAATGCATAAGTAATATATAACTCTATTTGATTCTGGGGAATTACTGCTGAAAAGATTAAAAATCTTTTTGCTTTCAGGATGTAATATGCTAATAGAAAGGCTTATATTCTGTGATTCCATAATCTTCATTAGATTTTTTTCTTTGGAAAAAGGATTCTACCTTTGGAGAAGAACATTCCAAAGCAAAAACACCCTTTGCCTCACCAGCCTTCCGAGTCAGCCCTTTACAACAATCAGAAGATTAACAAGGAGATGTGTTAAAGTTCATAAGAGAGATGTCAGTACTGTTCACATCTATGTAGAATCAGCCTTGAAGTTGTCATAGATTCATATCTTCTTATTGTTTATGGTAGGAGGGAATTTGTTTGTTGGGAAGAGGAGGGAACAGCCAGGAAGAGGACAAATAGAACAAGAAAAAATGTTCCTTCCCAAATTGCATCCTGCTGACAGTGCTCAGCAGGGCCTGTATAACATTGCGCAGCAACATAGAAGCACTCTATAAGAACGTTATACTTGTAGCTTGAAAATGGAGGGTTGAGTTAAGAATAGAATGCCTCATTTGAAGTCTTGCTGGCTCACAAATGCCAAGGTGAAAGATCCAACTGAGTCTCTTTTTAACTCAGATTTTTAAAAATACCTTCCTACTTACCCTACCCTACCTCATGGCCCTTGAAATGCCAATCCTGTCTCATGTTATGAAGAGGGCATCCCCAAATTCTGTGATTCAATCTGTGAGGAAGCTTCAGTGAGGTCTAAACTCCTCAGTCAGTCCTCCTAGAGTGAGCACAAGAGTATCTCTTCTACCCAAAACAAGGCGAGGGTGATTCTTAGAAGGTATGTGACAAGCAGCGCACCTTGCTTTCCTCAATTCATTCTACCCATATAGTCTGCTTGCATGTTCCCCAGTTTAAATGTATGCAGTTTAAACATGTATGTGTTGAAAACATCTGGTTCAATCTGTATATGATATTCATTTTCTCAAAATTTTCACATTGATAACATTACCCCTTTATCTTCTGCAACTTCTTTATTATCTTCTTTATTTTCTTCTTCTGGAATTTGTCTACTCTCTGATTCAGCACTTAATTTAAATGTAAAGAAAAGAAATTATTTAATACCAATACAAGCATACATTTAGACTGCTTACATAGGAAAGAAAGATCATGTAAATGCCAATGTACAAAACATAAAATTAATATTATGAGCATAATTTCAAACTAAGAAGTGCAAAGAAGTGACTGATATAAATAACATACCTAACAAATGTGAAAGTTAGTTGATCAGAACAAACTGAAGGAATAAGGGAATGGAAAATGGGAATTGTAATAAAGTTATGGGATAAAACAATATAACTCCCTGAGATTTGAGAAGAGAGAATAATGGAGCATGTAGCAAGTTAAGAGAGAAAGTCTTGGGGTTTTAAGGAATAGGATAAAAGTTTTGTTTAAATAATCGAAGAGCCACAAATTAAAATAGGGTTAAAGCTGTTGGAAGAAAACTGGGGTGCCAAAAACACCCAAGGAAATATAGTACCAGGACAAATGATTTAAATAAATGGATTAAAATAAAAAGAGGGCATCTACATTTCTGTAGAAGGCAGCAGACATGATCATAGTCCTTTCTTAACCAAGACATTTTTGAGATTAGAGGAAGAACAGCTTGTCATGCTGAAAATGTTTTCATCTTGAATGAGTGCATGAAAGTTGACTGCTATGCACTGCAATCTTAAGCATTATTTAGTTTAATAAAACTCAATTTCTTTGCTACTTCTTTCCAAAATAGTGGATATAAATGCGCACTCCCCTAAATTTCAGATTTCCTGTATATAACAAGCCTTGTTCGCAGCAATCTGTCTAGCTAGAGGTTTAAAAATGCATGTGAAAAATGCTGCTCAGTACACCGGCATACGTTGCCAGATTTTCCTCTGCGTTGTACAATTTAAAACCCTGAGATTTGAAACCTTTATTTCAGAATGACAGCTGCTTCTTCCGGCCAACTATATTAACATATTTGAGTTAATGCCATTCCTCGATGGATAACCATATCGTTTTCTTTAGTTTATTCAACTTTTCCAGAAGAACCCTCTATCCCCAGTTTAAGGCCTTTTATTCGCATCCTCTTTAAAAAGAGCTTTTGGTTCCCTTTCTTTCTTTGCTCACCCGGCACTTGGCTCCATACTTTCTTCCGTTGCTAGGCGACGCTATCAACATTCCCCGGTCTTCCTCTCTCTCCTTGCCCCGCCCTGAGTTCTCGGATGATTCCAACTGCGGGAAGGGGTAGGTGCAAATCTTGGACAGAACCATTTCTCAACATTGCCTTTAATGCCGAAGTCGTGGCGTTCCAGCGTTTCCCAACCTTGGCCATTGCCAGGTGTGTGGACTTCAAATCCCAGAATTCCGCAGTCAGCATGGCTAGCGATGAGTGTTCTGGGAGCTGAAGTCCACGTACCTGGAAATCACCAAGGTGGGGAACACTGCTAACAAAGCGTAGAAGGGGAGGACTGAGGTTTCGTGAAACAAACATAGCGATAGGAAAAGTTAGACTGATTCACGGTCAGAAGAAGCAAAAGCTGTTACAGTACTGGCTTAAAATACTTTTATGTGACTCCGTTCTTTTTTTCCATGTTCAGAGAATAGATCTACTCCAGTCCAACTCTCGCGATATTACAGTAGGTCTCTTCGGAACCATCATTCTCTGCGTACTGTGAAAACTGGCGGGAAGGAGGCTGGCGCAATGATGGAGAAGCCTTGCTTACGGTCGCCGCCGGTGAAGGTCCTGGCTGCGCAGCTGAAGCGGTGTCGCCAGCTCCCCGGCGGTTCGTGGCTGTTGGACCGGGAAGAGTACGGACGTCCGGCGCTAGTTGTCTCTCTGGTATGGATGCAGGGCAAAGTGTTGACTGTAGAGCAGGATGGCTCGACTGTGCGGCTGCTGGACGAGAGCGGCTCTTTCGTGGTTTCCGGCGTGGAGGGAGTCCCTAAGGGAAAACCTTGCCTCAGCCCTGGAAATTATGTGATGGTGATGGGCTTGGTGCAGGGTTGCATCCCAGAACCTGTCCTTCAAGCCGTGAAGATGACGGACCTTTCGGGCAATCCCCTGCACAGGTGTATGTGGGAGTTGGAAGTGGAAGATTTGCAGAGAAGCCTTCTTTCGTAAATGAAGCTGGCATGGCAAAATGGGAGTCATTTGCTGCATGTCTCGCCTGCATGTCTCGCAGTGACAGAACAAGTGGGGTGGAAATGCCTGCACTTTTTAGAAGCCATGGATTATTTCCAACTGGATTAATTTGCACAAAATAATATTTTATAGTTAAGGGCTCATGTTTTGTTGCAGAGATAAAATATCCATATTGAATACTTCATTGCACCTTTGTGGAGTGCTCTTCTTTCTTCAGGCTGGACTTACATTGAAGGAGTGTTGTGCTACAGAGTTTACTACAGACATCTGACTTAAGACATTACTGTTCAACAGATATGCAAAGACTGCTGTTTTAAAATAGTGATTCTGTCCACCCAAGTGATTTACAATTCTAGGATAAAGCTGCTTTGATAGCCATGGATAATATTAATTTGAAGGCCTGTTTTTTAAGGCATAGTTTCATTTAATGTTTCAAGTCAAATTGAGTGGTGGATAGCCTCCCCCCCTCCCCATAATATAGCAATACTTCAGGGAGACAATTGAACGATAAACTACATTATAATAAAATCTGCATATATTACTGGAGTTTTCTGTTTTTAATGTTTTCTGACAGTGAATAATTGAACTCCTAGTGGCACGTTTAATGTAAACAATACTTCATGCTTTAATGCATTATTTTTAAAAAGCTTGCTTGGACTCTTCAATGGTGGAATTGTCCTGGAGTTTGAAAATAGCTACAGTACCTCAAACATTTCATATTCTTGCCTTCTAGGATGTCTCTTGTGATAATCTGAAAAGTGCAAAGAGCACCTGGCACTCCAGTATAGTACAAAAAAATGAAGTGTTCTGCTTTGGCCAAGTATTTGTCTAATACCCTTTTTTGCTAGTTAGAGTTATATTTAATCTTTTATTCCAAGATAATATAGATTTTGTGGAATTTCTTTCAGCTTCACTTGTTCAGAGTAACATAAACTCAGAAAATGTTTGCAGTTGTGTTCTAATCATTTAGGTATAAATGATTCACAAGGTGCCTGTTACATGATGGAACAGGGTTTATCCTCACATCCCACTAAGTGTGGCATGAAAATGCCTTGCTAACCATTTTTAAAGAACATATCTTCATGCTTCACGAAGCTGCCTCCAAGGTTCTCACCGCAGATTTTTAAAATTTGATTTGATTCATCTTAAATTCCAGTTTTAAAATAGTGTTTTCTGTCTTTTCCCAGCACAAGTCTTGCCAAACAATCTACAACATCTGGTTGATGAGGTTCCATTGGCCCTTTAAAGCAGATGCATACACACCCACATCCCTCTGGTCACTGGATACTGCCTTCCATAGCCATTTTGGCTTGGGTTGTAGGAGAGACTGTATGCATCTAAAAGCACCCTGGATGCTTCAGGCATTATGCAAGCTCCTTATATTCTTGGATTAGTGTTCTTTTGAAAAAGTACTAAACCTGTGTTTGAAAAATAGGATTTTAGCTTTCTGACAACGTTGCCAGTACTGTCCTACACAGAAGATCAATTTAAACTGGGGAAAAGCTGGGTTCTGCCAGCTGTTTGTGTTACATGTTATTTGGTCTTCTGCTGACAAGGGTTTTGCATGGCTGGACTTTATATTGTTTTTCTTCAGGCAAGGGGGGAAGTACCATTTTGTAGCTTGAAGTTCATCCATGCCTGTCATTTGAGCCATTTGAAATGTGGCCAAAGTTTTTATCTCAAGTGACCACCCACAGTTGCCAAGACCACCCTTGCTGATGTTAAGGACAGCAGTTGGTGGTTAGGTGGTAGGCAATGATAAGTGGGAGGGGATAACATTATAAAAACTAAGATGCCTTCATTTGTCAGCCTCGCTCCTGAATAGGGCTGTGATGTCGGCAGTGCAATTAATGCCTACATATTTTCCTGCCAAGTCAAGGACTGAAGGAATGCACATTGATGTGGCCTAAGTGAATACTGCCATTGTGGAGTTTAGTGGCAGAATAATATGTGAAGAATTGCAGTCCAATATATTTCAACAGGCTATTCTATTACTTTTGAGAGACTTATCAAAGAGTTAAGTTGAAATATGAACACTTGCACATTAATTGAAAGGGCTGTAGCTCAGTTGTAGACCATTTATTCAGTACTATATGTGTCAGTCCTAGTTCACTTCTTGGCATTTCAAAGTAGGCTTGTGAAAGACTCCTGATTAAAGCTAGCAGACTGAGCTTGATTGATGGATGTCTGAATCTTAATACTGTGTTGACACACGTTTAACTGATTCCTAAATTCATGTTTGGGGTTCATACAATATGTTGAGCCTTAAACTAACCAAACAAGTCGGATTCACACAAGTTATATTCACAAAAAACCCTGCTAAACAAAGTTACAGTATTATTATCCAAGCTTAGCATGTTGCATGAGTGCATCTGCTGAACACAGCCAGTACCACATTAGGCAAATCCCTATCTTCCCATTTCCAAAGTAGGGATTAGATTCAAGCAAGATTTGCAACACATTAATAATTTATGAGCAATGCAGCTATTAATTCCAAATGTGCATGTTATTTGTTTTAGCAAAAGCTTGGAATGTGAATGACACTGGACAATATTTGAAATATTGTTGTATGCTGTTGGTAGAAAGAGAAAACAATAGCAAGGCTTCCTTATTTATTTCAATTCATGAAGCAGGTTTGCAGACATTTTGCATAAGTTCTTAAATGCTGTGAACTAAAATGAAATCTCATAATGTGAATATCTCTAATGTAATTTAGAGCATGTAATAATTAAGAACAGCCTTTTGTTAACACTTCTTAATCCGTTTTTCAGATCACCTTTAGTGCAATTAGTTAAGATGCATAATGGGTCAGTGCTGGGAATGAAAAAAGGCTCCAACGCCAGGGAATCATTTTGGCAGCGCAATTTTGGAAGGCGCCTGTTCTCCCTCCAAAGGCTGGGGAACAGCTGAGCAGAATGGGGCTTGCGTTGCGCAGTAAAAGCACGTTGTGAACAAGTGCAGTAAGAACGGCTCACGCCCGACTTACGTTCCCGCTTGCTCCACCTCCAAACCCTGAGCGGATCCGGCAAGAGTAGAATAAAGGCAGGGTTAAGCAGATCGAGTTGGGTGTGACCACGTTTGGCCTCGCCTACTCTCCCTGCAAATCCTCTCGCGCGGCACTGATCTAGGGGGAGGCAGTGGCGACTGCGGTGGCCTCTGGGTGAGAACTTGTCCCGCTGGGCGTCGGGGTGGGGTGGGCGAGGCTGCTCTCGGGGTGGGGGCATGGATGAGGGTATCTCCGTCCTTGGTGGCAAAGGCCAGGTGGAAAGTTCTGGCGTTGGGGGAGCAGGGTGGACCTTGGGGTGGGGTCTTCGCTGAGGCCCTGTGGCGCGGGAGAGGGCTGCTTAGCGTGGGCTGCGTGGAACGTGCTGCTGCGCGGGGGAGACGGGGCCCTCTGGGCTGCCTTGGGGGCAGGGCATTCTGGCGGAGTTCACCTGCTCGGGTCATACGGGGCAGTGCTGTGAAGGGGGAATGGATCGGAAGGGGTCTTGCGCTCTCGGTGGCTGTAGGATGTGGTCTGGCCCGGGGCACGGTTGACGATTGTGCGTGCGCGGTGGGGGGAATTGCTGCACCAGGGAATGAGGCAGGGGTAGCGGTGGGCAGGACAGGAGACTAAAGATTAACCCGAGGAACTCTGTTGCCGCGGGAGAACGGCACGGCTGCTCAGGTATTTGAAAGCTGCGGTCCTTTAGTGATTTTGGCTAACGTCTCACCCGGAGAAGAAAAAGATCATTGTTCTGTATATATCTGCATGATGATGGCTATATCGGGGCACGCTTTACTTCACTTCTTATACATACGTCCTTTGGTTCTTGGGTCTCTTTGAGGGGCATTTTGAAGATACCTCCTAACTATTGTAGTCAGCAAAAGGAATGAGTGAGAGTACTACACACTACATTTTCCCAGGTTAGCATCCTGGGCTGCATTCTTATTTGGAAAATGTCCTGAATGGATGAATAAAAATATTCCAGTTTATCAGGCATAATATATAAGACAAGCCATTTGATTAGAGAAAAACTGTTAATTGGAGAGGATTTTCTGCCTGCCCCCCTCCCCCTGCTTGGATATAATGGTGAAAATGGAACTGTTCCCAGTTGTTTGGTAGGATATAGCTGATACCAGCTTGTAAAAAAGATGTATGGCTTGAGGCGAATAGCCTGTTTTTTTGTTTTGTTTTTACAACAGATGATTTCTGTGTTTCATGTTCTGCTTATTTTAAAATCTTTAATTGTTGACTCAGTGAAGGAAATGGAAAACCCTGATGAAAATAAAGAATCTGGAAGTGCAGTAGCAGCCCATTAATCTTGTGAGGTGTTGGGCGTGTCAGGGCCTCTTAATTGCACGCACGCTTAACTCTGCATAGGATCAAGTTGTTAAGGAGCAGTGTGCTCTGTTCACTTCTTAATTTATAGAGATGCTGCCAGCAGTGAAAGAGGTTGCATGTTTCCCATCCTCCATCTCCCCCACCCGAAACCAATGAATAATTCATATTGGCTCAGTGGTGGTCATAAAGTATGGATCTCATATCATATATGGTCTGTCCTTTGAATTCCTGCCAAAATGCAGTTCATCCGAGTAGAACACATTGACTGGATTCAATATGGGGCAGTGTTTTTACTGTTCTAACAATGTCTCAGGTAGCTGGCCAGTCTTGTCTGGATTTGGAAGCTGAGCAGGTTTAGGTCTGGTTATTAGTTAGATGGAAGACCACCCTGGAATTACAGAGTAAAGGCTTTACTTATTTTATTGGTGGGTTATAATGAAAGTATATAATGCACTGCAATATAATATACTGAATTCACATATGGCACTAAGATTCAAACCAAGGAAGCCATGTTATGGCTTAGCACAATATGTGAACCAGCCTATCACAGGTGTCTCACAGAAGCCATTATGACTTAATGTGCACCATGATGATATAGCCCAAATGACATAAATCATGTAATATGTGTCAGTTATTTGATGTGTCTGATGCAAATGACTCTCCCCTCTCCCCAGACACCTATGTAGTTACTAACCCGTCATAAGATTAAGTTGTTAACTAAGTGCTTTGGGACAATTTTAGGAAGCTCTTTAAAACAGGTGATATGTTCTCTAAAGTTACAGAAAAAGAAAGAAGTCCTGGAGCAGAAGGATATTCAAAACAAGTGTGGCAAGTTATACTTGAAGGGAATGTTTGAAATACTGGATCAAATCACTGTGGCTTGTGTGTCAGGAGAAAAAGGCAAACAGCATAGTTTTGGTTTAGGCAGTAATTTAAAAAATGCCTTCCAGTACGGAAATGTGCAAAATCAGGGGAAGTAAATTGTGGCTGCATGTTTGAAGTGGGCCTTTGCAGAGACCATGAATTTGGAACATGGGACAATCTGCCTCTGTTGAAATTTGGCTCTGGGACAGCACCTTCAAGGGCCAAGACTCAGTTAAGGCTGTAGTGCTGATTATTGCATGAGCTCCAGATTAAAGCAGCCTGTCTCAGTTTGCACCCCAGCCAGAGATCAAAGTGAGATGCTGCCTTAATGGATAGGATATA